ATATCATTAAGCTGCGAATGACAGCAACTTCTGTTAATAATTGAAGAGAGAGACCATAAGGACATGCAGAGGAGAGAGGGGGGAGGAGAACAAAAAAAAAAAACCACAAAGGAGGGGGGACTGGATCACGAGCTTTTGGTGACAACCCGGTCCATCTTCAAGTTCCACATCATCTAAGTTTTCATCTATTTCACAGCTTTAGAAATAAGGTCTTGGGAAACACTTAATTAATCCTATTCACATTACCGACACTGTACCTGTTCCTTAGGGGGGATTCCGATTTCTTCAAGCACTTTTCAAACTCATCAACACATATTAATACCAAGTGAGAGGCTGCCTTTGTAAAATTCGTCTTCAAATACCATCCATGAGTGTCTGGCCAGTCACGTGAAGGGTTGTATTTCAAGCACAACATCCAAGTAAATTTCTCATGTATCAACCGTTGATCAATATATTTTTTTCTTATTATTTTATTTGTACACATCATGTTATGTAAGTAGGAGTGGGTATATTTATTACTGCAAGTGATGTTTGCTGTCAACATTTCCATTTCTCGATTACATCACATGTTGTTTCAAGTGAATCAAATGCACATATTTTCAAATACATGATGCACGAATCCTATGCAATTTTTGTCTTCTATGTTTGTTTGTCCTTCACTACGTTGATACCATTATATTAATACAAGAATTCTTCTCCCCTTCAGCGTTTTTTTTTTTTTTTTTTTTTTTGCACCTTCTCATATACATACGTTTGTTTTAGTTACAAGTAATACCTTTTTTTTCTTCTTTTATAAAAAAAAAAAAAAAACACTCATGCTGTTCAAGTCTTTTTTTTAAGTTTGTAGTTTATCACTTTTGCTTTGCACATGTTGGTCGTCTTTCTAATGCTTATTAGACTATTATTTGTTTTATTTTATTTTTTTATCTCAACCGTATGTAATGAGAGTGCATGAGTTATTTTTTGTATTGATTTTATTTTGTTGCATTTGCAATATGGAAACCATATGTCGGTAGGTATGCATGGGTTTTGTCTTATATTACTTGCTGTCTTTGTGAACAGAATGAAAAGTGGGTTTAAAAAAAAATTAATTTAATCATAGGTTAAATATTGGCTACAGCATGTTAACTTTGTGTGGTCCAAGAAGAAAAATAATAACAAAACAAACAAATGTCCTTGTGTTCACGTAAGTTATTAAGTTGATTGTCACTTTCTTTAATTCTTTTAATTCATTTTTAATATACCTTTCTTTTTGTTCAGTTTTTTTTTTTATTTTTGTTGTTTATTTATTTCATAAATACTTAGGTTCTAATTTTTTTATTTTTTTTACTTGTTTATTTTGTTTGTTCGTAAATTAATTTCTTAATTTTTTCTGTAAGTTAAAATTTAATCTTTATTTGTTCACTTTTATCATTGTTTAATTAAAAAGGGTAAAATAAAATTCACGCAACCAATTTAAGGTAACTGTTTAAAGACGGGCGTGTTGAGAGTGCTGTGGGGTTTATTCTCCATCCTTCCTCACGTGCAAAGGATTCCCGAACCTTGTTCAATTTCAAAATCAGTGTGCAAAGACAAAAGATTTTTCAATTTTCCTAATAAAAAATTTGGTTACGACTCCATGTTCAAAAACCAACTTTTACAACGCTCATTATCCATGGATTCCTAGTAACCCCAAAGAAACTGATTGCCTTGTGCCCACACTCACATGTCACAATCATTGAAGCTTGCTACTCAGAACAAAACACACCACATCATAGTAGTTCAAAGAAAAAACGTAATTTTTGGCTAATTCAAAGGATACTACTCGGTATCCCGCTCTATACACGGGTAAATAATTCAAAGGAATCCCTAGAATATGAATTATACCTGGGTATTTTCCTCTATACTGGGTATCCCCTTTGTACCCGGGTAAACAAGGATAGATGGGTGATATTTTTTTGCTACGGGGGCAAAGTGATAATTATTTATTAATGAAGGGCACAATGGTTAAAAAGCCTTAATGTGACCCATTTTAAAGTTCAACTTGCCTAAAAATATAATAAGGGTTGAATGGTAGTTAGAATCTCGATTTATCACTATATTTTTACATTTTTACGATTTTTTTATCAAAACGATTTTACCAATATTTCAAGTGCTTTTACGTTTTTACGATTTCTTTTACATTTTAATTTTTCATTTTATAATTTTTTATTCTCCTTCTATTTTTACGTAACATATCCTTTTTAACTACTTTGGGGCCGAACTCAAGAAAAAACAGTTCGGTAATGCCTGTTTTGAAATCTATTTTAGAAAATAGTTTTTTATTTTCAGAACAAAAAAAATGGGTTTGGTAATGCCTATTTTGTAAAAAAAAATAAAAAAAACTTTAACTATTAAAAAAAATCAAATTTAGAGAACATTTTTTAGTTATTTTTATTTATTTTTTAATTTTTAACTTTCAAAACAAAAAAAAATCATAAAAAAATATTTATTTTCATAACTATTCTACAAAATTATTTTAATAACAAAATCAAATAGGCCATTAGTTAGTTCTTTCTTTTCCTTTGGGCGGTCACTCTCAATAATGTTCTCTTCAATATTTTGTTTTCTGTTATAATTAAACTAAAAAGTAGAAGCAGACCGACAAAAAAGCAAAAAGTCATATTCCCCTATACCTGTATCCGAATCCCTGGGATATTATGTGATTGTATCTAAAGCAGTCCACGAACCCTTATTGAATAAATTACTACCTATTTCTTTTTAAATAATTGTAATTTAAACCAAATAAAAGTAGCTCAGTTGACAACAGAAAATTAAACATGTGTGTTCGATCCTTCTTAATATCTCAAAAAAAAAAAATTTGTAATTTAAAATTTTGTATAAAAGACTCACAGATTCTTAAATATTTTAAATTTTAAGAAAGTATAAGTTTATTTTACTATATTATCTGGAAAAAAAGAGCATTGGTATTTGTCATTTTAAATATTCTTAATTTTAAGAAAGTATAAGTTTATTTTACTATATTATTTGGGAAAAAAAAAAGAGCATTGGTATTTGTCATCTAGCTATGCCCACCTATGGATTATGGGCATTCTCAACTGTTCTCACCTGTTTATTGGTTGGGTGATGTGTTTTCAATTTAAATGTGATAAAAAGACATCAGAATTGCGATTAAACTATCAATTCACTATCAGGAGTATTTTCATGAAATTCTTGTGTTTTTGTAGGAATTTTGACCCTATGAAAAAAGACAAGTTGGAGAACTCAAGTGAAGAGACTGAAAAAGCTCCAATCCAACCACACCATTAGCTCGAAGATGGTGCTTCCAATGCCAGCATCCAAATTACCTTAGGTTTCTCCGCGCTAGAAGCGCTAGAGTGGCGCTACCAGCGCCAATTACATCAAAAACCCTTGTTGCCCCATGCCACTAGCTTGGGAGTGGCGCTAGCAGCGCTAGAACTTCGGGTATTCCGCGCCAGTAGCGTAGGAATGGCGCTAGTAGCGTCAAAGCATAAATTAGTTTTAGTTTCGTAGTGCTTGCAGCGCCAAAATCGCATCATTAGCGCTAGAGGCACGTGACTCTACAAGTGGGTTTTTCAAGTGTATCTTGAAGAAGATTTATTTGGATTTATGGGATATTTGAAGAAATCTCTCGTGTGATATAAAAAGAACGAATTAGGAAATCAGAGAGCAACTTGGACAAATTGGGGAATGGTTGGAACACGGAGAAAGCTGGAAAATTGGAGAATTGTAGTTTTTCAGAGAGAGAAAGAAGATTGAAGGAGATCAAAGCAATTGTGGAGATCATCCTTCTTCTTTCTATCATTGCTTCATCTAGCTTTCTTTTCTTTCTTTATGTTGTTTAAGCCAGCTATGTTTGGTTAATTTTCTTTTGTAGTTAAGATATGTATCCGACATGAATCCTTATTTTGGGTTAATTCTTTCCTTAATAAATTGTCTCTGATCCGACATATAGGAATAAAGAGGGTTAGGATTCACAACTGACATATTGAGATCTTAATCTTGACAGGGATAGAGCATCAATTCTTGCATGATCGAAACATAGACTTGCAGAAATTGTGAACTTTGTAATTCATTGCGCTTAAAGCTTAATCTAAAAGGGATTTCTAAGACATTAAGATTCTAATTAGGTTAAAAGGTTAAAGAGCTAAGACATTAGGATTTAACCAAATAATTCTTAGATGATTAATTGTTTGAATCAACTGAGATGGATATTAATGAATTGAATTAATTTACTTAAGGAGGATCATATGTGAAATAAACCCAAACTGCAGTCTTTATTATTGATTTTCTAATCTATTTTTTAATTACCTGAACTTTACCCTTGCAATTAATTATTATTCAGCATTTATTTTTCCTTGTTACTTTTAATTGATTTTCTACCAATTTAAATATTATTCTTTCCGAATTCATCTTGATTTGTCTAAACTATGTGAAATATTGAGAATAGTGATTGATATATCTAATCTTCGTAGGAACGATACTTTATTAACTTCTTTATTATTTTTGTGATCGTTATACTTGCCGCGAGAGCAACAGTGGAAAGAAAACCTTCTAATGGAGGAAACTATTAAATAATTAGTCTAATAAAGTGACGTTCTATCTGATATAATTTCATTTGATATTAACATAAAAATTAAGTGAAATATTCAAATTCAGATCATGTTATGCACTTACTCTACACACTAGCTTGTAGCTATATTCCGACACAAAGGTTGTATTTTTTTCTTTTCTTTTCTCTTTTCATCCTTAGTATAAAATAAAAATTGTACCAATAATTGGTAACTTAAGAAAACATAAACAATAACAGGGAGTATCGACTTTAATATTGCTTTGTTTAATAGATGCATTTGGAAGACCAAAAATGACAGGATTTATTATTTCTTCATAATTTATGCTTTCTAGCTAATTATTCTGTTGTACATGCCTTTGGACTAAGAGAATACTAATGTGCACTAAGTCACGGTTATAGATCGTCCTCAACTACAACTTAGACACAATCAATTAGCTGGAGTTGGAGGGCTTTCTAAGCGAATATAATCATACATAACTCCTTGGAAAGCTTCTCTGGCTCTTGGTTGCCTCAAATAGATTGTGTTCTTTCCTTGAACCAAATGATCACTAGCTATACTTATGCTATACAGCCTATGCAATCCATGGATGCCGTGCCTTGCTATGGCATTGTCATCGCCTATTAGCCCTGTTGTGAAGTGGGGTGGATTAGCACTCGGGTCATTGAACCTAACCTGATCAACCCATCTCAGAAAATGTTAGTGATCATAAAATAGTCATAGCCGAATTAAAACTTAATTATGGAAGAAAAGTACCTGTACTTCAGCATTAGAGGAGGATGCCAGGGCCAGTTGTAGTGTGTAGGTTCCCCTCAGTATGTTATTTTGAAGTTCAAATCTAATCTGCCATATGGTTGGCTGGTATGTATTATTTTCCAAGCTCCTGCATACATACATCAAAGCAGTTTAGAGGAAAAAGCCAACAAAACTTACAATTAACAAGTTCTATATATTAACAAAACTTACCTGGGAACATGAGCAAAAAACCAATCCTTTTTATAGTTGTTAACACCAACCGTGTAAACGAGATCATGATTTGGATATAAATCAGCGTAACGTTCCCACAATCCGTATTGCCTGAACCTGCCACAGTAGAAATACTGTCTTGAGTAAATGGAAAAAGAATGCTGTGATTAATAGTAAACTAGGAGCTAGCATCAATTGTCGACAATGCGTTTTGGACTAACTTGTCTCTGTCATCATTCTTGTATAAATAGTTCATGAGGGTAGGGTAAGGATCTGGGACATGGAATTCTGCAGCCGAGCGATCTGGGAAGCCAATTTCCCAAAGAGTAGGACCATTTCTTGGAGGACTATAAACAAGTGAATCCAATTTGATGGTACATCCTGCACGTACATTACATATCATTAATTGTCTAAATAAGCAAGTTGTAATTAATTTTAAGTCTAAACCCACGAGAGTTTTTGAGATATGTTACCAGGTGTGATGGTGATTTGAGCATAGTATTTGTAATCTCCAATAAAGCCAGGAACCCACCCATACAAGTTGTAAACCCCAGGTACTATATTTTTTATTACGAAGTATCCATTGCTGTCTGTTCGGGTCCAGAATTGGTAACCCTGTGAATGATATATAATTCAAACCCTTTTTAGCTGCATGCATCATTATTCCTTCAAAGTTAATGAAACTAAATCTTTTTGGCTCCAACCAAATGTACCTTGCTTTCTTTCTGCCATGATCCAGCATTTCCAGGCAAAGCTAGACCAATGTAAGCATTGATAGCATTTTGAGATCTCTTTCCTCTGGTGAACATGGTAAAAGTAAGGAATTTAGCTCAATCTCATGTAATCGAAGAATAAAATGTAGGTAAACAAGGCATTAACATATACCCATCTTGGACTTGTAACCGTCCTGATACTGTTCCTCGTTGATTGCGTGGAAGGAAATCTTTTGAACGAGGGAAGTCATAAGGCCAGCTTTTGACTTCATTAGATAGCTAATTAATCAAAGAAAAATAATAAATTATGTGCCATAACATAATCACTTCCCTCTAATTAATAATAGGCAATTAAAAATAAGAGTGCGAGTGTGGTTAAGGGTAATTAAGCACCTGTCGCACCGCATCTGACCACAGAGTTTGTAAACGAACATTATTTGGAGCAGAGTTGAGGTAGACAAAAACAGGGCCGAAAACTTTTTTATATGTCTCGCCTTGTTGAAATTTCATGTTTACCCCTTTGCCAGCATAGTGGGTGCTCACAAACATCTATGTAAGAAAATTAACAAAAGCAAAAACAGAAAAGTACTTTAACTGTCACTTATTATTGGGTCCTATGACTGTGAATGACAACTCACATTCTGGCAATAACTATCTAAATTTGGTTTTTAGTTATGATGAGGAGAAATATTTATACACTGTTACATCACAATATATATTTAATATTAAATTAGAGGACAGAAGTTGAACTTACGGAGAGGGTAGTGGGGCCAACATGAGAGGTGAGATCTTGCTTAATGGGCCCAGCATTTTGGAACTCGTTACTGGGTGTTATCATCCAGAAACCCACGGGTGCTTCAGAATCTGCCGTTATCCAGCCATGAACTTTGCAGTCTGTGTTCTCAGTAGAGTATTGGTATTTGTCATCCACCTGAGCCCAACATAATCATTCATACATTCATTCCATGACATTTTAAACTATAAGCCCATATAAAGAATAAAGAAAAGAAAAAAGTGAGGCAAAAATCCATGTCAAATCAAACATGCAAGCATATTAAGAAAGTTACCTCTCCCCTAAATTGTGGGTTAGATGGATGGGTTAAGAGAACAGCTTCAGGATAAGCCAGCCTTTGACCTGTTTCTCTATCTCTCATCGATGGCATTCTCCTTTGCCTAGTATCTGATATAGCCATATAGTTGAACCTGGGCAGTTGTTTGTGTTCATTAGTTAACACAGTTTTCGCCCCTCTTTTAAAATGATAAGCTCAAAATAAATTTATAGGAAAAGTGTTTGTACTCTTAAATGTCACAACTTATGTCATTTTATCACAAAAAGGTGAAACTCATACATTTACATCTTTTAAAATGATATACACTTTTTTCATATATCTATTATGTAACTGGAAAAATTTTACTGTTGACACAAAATTAGTTGAGGTTCATTGGTTTTTTGTTTTCTCTCTTCCTTTCACTTTCTCTCTCTTTGTTATATGATACATATATAAATTAATAAATAAAAGATTCTTTTAAAATATAAATGTATTCTCAAGTTAATTTGTCAAATAAGTATTATGAAAGTATGATTTCGATATAGGTTTTTACATTATCATTTATGTTATTGAAATAGTTTGCTTGCAACAATTACAAATGTTTAAAAAAAGCTAACTCTCTTTTAATGATATATTTATTGAGGAGTGTTATATTGACAATTTTATTTTATTTTTTACAAACTACACTATATTTTATCAGTAAGGCTTAATTTAAGAATATCTTACAAATAAGACATAGTGAAGTTTGTAAGAGTTTATAAATAAAAAATTTCTAAGTATAATTTTTCATGTTTATTTGATAATAAAAAGTATTACAATAATGAGAAATTAAAATTATATATTTATATCCATATTTTAATACATCCCAGCACATTTCATCTTATGTTACACATTTAGGACAAGCAAAATTGTAGAGAGGGGGGAAGGGAAGCACGGAATATAAATAATCAAATTGAAATATTTAAATACCCAATTTATAAAATTAAATTTTAAAGAAAACATTTTTTTAAAAACCGTAACAATTTTCTTCTAACTTAACTTTTCATTTTTTTCACTAGAGTTACTTCTGTAAATTTGAAATTCATAGTTTATCATATTCTATAAACCAAATTAATTACGTAATTAGTTTCCAAGCCAATATATGTTTAATACTTTCAAAATTTGAAATCAAGATTGTTATTCTTATTCCTTTACCAATTCATAAATTTTGATTTGTTAAGAGAAAGTGAAAATTACTAAAAAAAATTTTTTTTCAAAAAAAGGGGAAGAAAAGTACTATTTTATTTTCTTTTTCTCACAGTAACATTTTTCCAGTTACCTGTCTCTGTTGAGCTTGAATACCAATCTAATTTGATCAACCCCAACTGCAGGTAATCCTTCTGGTCGCTCAAATATTACGTATGAGTAAAACCCGGAATCGCCCCTTCGCAATATATACCTGCAACAATAAATTTACATCAAACAATATTAATGCAAAACCAAGAACATGTCCGTAGTCCATGCATCTCTATTTGTTCTCAAACTTTACGTAAAATTAAGACATAATAGAACCCACCTTTTGTCTATGTTTATAGGGACACTTGAGCCTCGCATAGAAGATGTCCATGTTCTTAAAAATGAAACCTCTACTATATTCTCGGTGGCTGCCATTACTGAGAAACTTGTCCCGCGGATTCTGTAGCACAGTTTCAATCATAAATTTGTCTGTTGAGTTATACGTAAGTGCATTAAGCATGCATTACTTTATTAATTAATGTGTAAGATATAATCCACCCTGATTAATTTCTTTTATTAATAATTGCATCATGGAGTGTACAAATACAAGAACATATCGTTAATTAATTGGGAGGACAGGAATTATACCTCTGAAAACCGCCAGATTGTCCTGGTCCCTTCCAAACGACGTCCATGTACCTATAAACATGAAGGCCTGATTATGTTAATCAAACCAGGACTTACAATATGGAACCAATTTTTATGCCTTACTTTACTGGGTTATTTTGTAGAAAATTCCAACTTTAATTTGATTAATTATGAAGTAAATACCCTCTATCGTTGTCTTCATTCCGAGCGTCAAGCACATTTTCAATTCCATTATATGATATTCCAAGGATATAGCCCTCGGGATTTGCCAAGTTGATGGAAACGATGCCGTTATCAATCACCACCTGAAAATCAAAGCAAATTCTCAAGACTTAAAAAAACATGTATTTGACGAGAAAATCTGGTCAATGTTTTTTTTTTCCTCAATATTTTGAACAAACTATCTTTTCCCAAAAACTAGTATCACCTGCTTAGGATTTTCGGTATTCAGTTTGACTGGAGAAGGAACAAATCCTAGGCTGTTGGTCCCCCTTAAACCACTTCTCCATGTGGATGCAATGCAGGGAAAGAAAAAAGTGAAAATCAAATAAAATAAAGTTTAAAGCATCACGTTGTCATTTCAATTAAAGAATATTCAATGGAGAAAGAATAGGACAAAAGGACAATAGGACAATTTGAGCACTGAGTACATATTTAATATTTCAGTTCTTGTAAACGATTCATTTGTTACCCCCCTAATTGTAGGGCAGTGTTTATTTTTCTTCCTAGCTATTCCCATTAAATAAGTCGTTTTTGGTAACCTATCGGAAACAAATACAAATAGAGAGAGGTACTGCCTGACCTAGATGAGAAGGGCGATGCACATAAAAAATCCTACATTATTTCGCGTGTGCACCGGTACAAAAACATAATAAGTCTTAAATAATGCATAGGTGTGAAATAAGAAATGTGTAAAAATAGCATAACTTAAATTTTAGATGGATGGACTTTAACCATTGTTATTATGTTTTGAAAGGGAGATTTCATTGTTATTGTAGTAGTCCATTAGCCTGTACTATTAATGCGGGTCGGTTACAATAATGCAATATGCAGGGACTTAATTCAGAAATGTAGCTTTGTTTCAAAAAGAAAAAGAAAAAAAGAAATGTAAGAGCTAATTTAATTTTCTTTAATTTAGTGCATGCTTCAGAATAATTTCTTAAAATATTTATATTTTAAAGTCCTCTCACAAAGTTTTAAATTAAAAACATTTTCAAATATAAAATAATCTAATTTACACTAGCAGTTATATTATTGTGAGTATACAATAGACATTTGAAAGAGTAAGATGGTGCAGGCAACACGTGGGTGCAAGCAAATTAATAAATTCTTTTCATCCCTACAATGGTTATATATAGCTTGCAAAATGTCTTTTTATTATCATAAAGTAATATACACAAATGAACAAAGAAGCATGCTAATGACCATAAGCTCATAACAACAAATAGATAAATAAAGGGCATGAAATGGACACGAGATAAAAAAAAAACATTACTCTCCTATTTTATGGAATCTTTTCTATCTCTCCCTTTCGTTTTTTACTTATAAGTACTTTTCATATGGAGAAAATAAAACAATAGAATGCCTTCCATTTTGTTTACTCTGAATCACGTAAAGAGAAGCGCAAAATAAAAGCAGAAGCAAGAGATAAGGGAGAACCTGAATGAGGTCTTCTCAGAATAGACACCGAGAAAGAAGCAGAGCTGTACAGCCACTCTAAACCACCACCACAAGAAGAAAACCTCTTTCCTCATCTTACCAGCCACCTTCATCTTTTACCAATATGAACCTGCAAATAATTGAAACTTCATTTCAGAGACAAGGCCGAGAAGAAGATATCAAAGATTGCCAAAATAAACTTCATTAAACTCGAATAATGCTGTTATAATATAATGGTAAAAACTGAAGAGTACTTTCAAACTACCATCTGGATGGTAATTTAACGAAATCAACATTAAAAAAAAAAAAAAAAAGAAGAAGAAAAACAGTTATATAAATTCTAAAAGACATGCCCGAACCTTAACAATCCCCAATGTCTTTCACGTAAGGGCCTTTTCTTAGAGTTACAGAAAACCATAGGAGATCAAAAGACCAGCTGACCAAGTTTATATCGTGGCTATTTTTTCTTGGGAATTGTTTTTCTAACTCTGACTATTTTTTTCTTTGGAATTGTTTTTCTAACTCTTCATTACTCAATTTTCTTTGGAACCTCAATGTGAACCTTCAAAAAATGTGCAGGCAAGAACATAATGCCAAGTACTGACCTCGTGTGTATATATAGCATCTCTTTGATGATGCCACTTTTTAAACAATTTTTTTTCCCTTTTTGGCACTGCCCCTCAATATTCATATCCACCCAACAGCAAGTCATCCCCTCAACGTTGAATTAAGGGTATAATAGTTTTCAAAAAAAAATATTATAACGATGAATTTGGAAAAATCTTGCACCACATGACAAAAGGAATTAGGAAGGTAACATTGAATTAAACTTTTTTTATAAAAGTTTTGAGATATACTGCCAAATTATTAGGCCGAGTGTTTGAATAGTTGAAGTGTGTATTCGATTAGCTGCCTAAATTTAAGTTGAAGTAACACATTATTTTTAGGGGAAAGTTATACTTATAAATATTTTGTTTACAAAATTTTACAAATTATATTTTATCTTATCGGTAAGACATAATGTAGTTAGTAAGTTTGTCAATATAATCCTCCTCTTAATTTTATATGTAAAAAATTTGACAGTGATCTATAATTCAGATTAACAAAAAATATTTTTTTGTGTCGCTATACACAGGCATGATTGATATTGGTCAAATGATATACAAAACGAAAAACCTCTGGCCTAATTATATTCCAACTAGTAAGATGGGGCGTTTGGTACTTATACCTAATCCTCAGTATTAGAAAATCATCAAATCTGATCATTATCAGAATTAAATGCCCCACTTCTTATTCTTCTCAAGTCTACAAGGTATGGTATTATAGTATGGTTTACTTAAAAAAACCAGTATTAAAAAAATTTAAAATATCAATTCCTTACGGGAAGTATAGATAAGAAAAGCCTACAAAGTTGAACCTACACCAGTTTGAGAAATCCGTAACAAAAATGGACAAAAGCCAACCTAAATTCTTTGTCCCAGAAAAACTCATCATTCAAACGCGTTCCCATACCAAGTTGCAGTAACCAATATCAACCTGTGCATGTGATTTAATACTTGACAATGCCCTGTATGTGTGTGTGTGTGTGTGTGTGTATGCGTATTGTACCTACTATTCCCCCGCTAGACGTGGTTTTACCTACAAAAGTTCCTCCGTGACACCTTTTGTTCAGGTTATTTATGAACATTAACCATATTCATTGTACTTTATGTTGTATACTTCTTTACCTTGTACCTAGTAGGTTGTATTATTAAATACTATATAGGAAGATGACCAATAGAAAACGTGGGACTGCCTTCAATAATGTTATTTCCTTTTCTATATATCTTGGCTTATTTGGTATCAGAAAGTGTTTGGTAAACTATAACGATCAGTTAAGTTTTATGATTCTTCGAATCAAAATTAGTTATATAAATTTACAAATATTGTGAATACAGATACTATAGATTGATAATAGAGATATGATAAAATAAAACAGTATCAATATTTAAAACTAGTTCTAACTAATAGATTAACTAAAAACGGACTGATTTTTAAAACATAAACAATTACTAAATACAAAAAGTTTTAAGACTGATTTCATTGTTCATAATTAATTAATATTTGGTAGTTAAGAAACCCGAAAAGGACATTATTCAGCTCATTGTATAAAGTAACATGTTTTGTTAGTTAAGAAGAATAAAGGAATCACACTAGAAGGGGTAGAGGACAAGTTGTAAGCTCTAGGAGGCTTCTTGATAGGTAGCACAAGTCAAGATATTTGACTCTTTTGAAAAAGACAATGACAAATAATGGACTTGAAGCATAGTGGACTATGTCCTAATCGACGGTGTACTTCTTAAGGCAATACACGCCTAGTACAGGAGATGACTCGGCAGGTTACGATTTTCTATTACAACCATTTGTTAATTTATTCCATGAGATAATTTATTTGTCTCTTGTGACTTGGGACAGGTGATGAAGTCAACCCTTTTCAGCAAACGATCGTGAACCAGAATTTAAGAATTAATTTAACTTAGAAACAGACTTCTTTATATAAAGATTTATAATATGCGTCACCATATTCTTACCGTGATATATGAATAATAAATAATAAATTTTATCATCAATCTTGATCCGGATAAAATAAAGGTCCAATGGAAGCCCAATGACATACGAAAAAGCCCAACCCACCAAGGATCCAGAGCAAGCGCGACAGACAACTATCGCTCGTAACACGCAATGCCCTCATCGCGACAGACAAGCCGCGATAACCATATTGCGGATGAAACCCCTTCAAGTAAGCAAACTTAACGTCCAAAGCAATCCCACCACACCTTTATGCCAATAAGCAACGGACAGCTCCAACTTACCGCGACTCTACAACTAGACACTAACAAAGATAAGGCAACTCAGATCCTAGTACTGACCTGCAACCCAAACTTGGCCAATCAGAAGCCAAGCCGCCTTGCTAAGGCGGCATCATAACTATTATATAAACAAAAGAGTTCAACACCCAGGTACAATCATCCTTTACATTTAACAACATACATCACCTGCCTCTGATAATGACTTAAGCATCAGAGTGTCTTCGCAGGTATCCCCAGTCAGACTTAACGCGCTACCGCAAAGGGCAGATACGCAGTTTGATCCCATCCTGACCGAAGGCCCAAAACCAAGCACTAAAACCCATATCTCAACTGTGTGTGATCAGACTTGATACAGTTTGGCCAGCTCACTCCATATCTGGTCTGATCAAATCTTAATCATTGATTTTTGTATATTTAACAATTGTAATTTATTGAGAATTAATAATTAATTAGTGAGAATAATCCAATCAATTATAATAATTTGATAGACGCAAATTAATGATTTAAATTGAGTGTGAGATTTATTATTTTTATATCAGATTAAATTGATCATATTCCTTAATATATATATATATATATATATATATATATATATATATATATATATATATATTGATTCTTAAGTAAAATTTTATTTAGAAAGTTCTAAAATAGGAATAACTAGATTCTAAAATTTTCTGATTTAACTAATTAATTGCTATTTTTCCTTTTTTGCACAGAAGAAATGCATCATATAGAAAGACTTAGTAAGTAAGAGATAAATGAGACGATCCAAAAATACCTACGTGCATTATATATGCAGCTAAATAATCCTCTGATTCCTTCGCGGACGTAATTTTGTTATCAGAGTCTGCAAATCTCTTTCACAGCATGCCGGAGGAACTATAACAAGAAATTGAATCGCTGACAATAAATCAGACAAAAATATTCATAACTGTTCATAATATAGCAATTAACAAATTAACAACTATCCACCAAAAAAAAAAAAAAAACTAACAACTAATAAAAAGATCGAAAGTCATAATTTTTGTTGTTTCCAAAAAACTTATAAATAAGAATCAAATTCAATTATATTAACCACGCTTGATGTTTAAAAATGTTATGTAAGTGTCATTTTTTTAGTTTCAAATATTACTGTGAATTTGTATATTTTAAAAATTGTTTTGTGTAAAATAATTTATTAATTTTTCATGCTAAAGGGGTGTTTAGAAAATCTATTGTCAAAAGGAAATATATTTCTTTTGGGAAAAAAAATGTCATATATAAATTTATGTTTACTTTCACATGTCAATAATAAAAAAAGAGTTTTATGTTTTTCATGTTATTGGATATAAAAATTTATGTCGTTGTTTTGGGTAGAGAGAAAAACATCTGTAATATTAAAAGATGGGTAAAGTGTGTGTCATTTTAAAGGATGTAAAGTTGTGTTATTTTAAGAGAGAGAAAGAGATAGATAAAGGAGGAAAAAGAGTTGACAAAAAAATAAAAGCGTGGGTTCCACTTCTTTGTGAGAGTGAAAGGATATAAGTTGTGTCATTTAAAAGGATAAACACTTTTCCCTTAAAAGATTCATATAACCCCAAATAATTTGGAATTACAAAAATATCCTTCCTCTAAAATTATAACTATAAAATTTGAATTGTAGAAAATGAATTATCTCATACAGTAGAAAATTATTAATCCTATAATAAAAACCATAGATTAGCTCGGCAAAAATGAGGTAGAAACCAGATATCAATGTAGGTGTAGACAGAAAATAGATATGTTGGGGGAAAAAATAGGTGTTCTCCCTAATATTCAACATCTTTGGGATTAACGGAACCATAAAAAAATATCAAAGCATATTACATATAAAACAATAAAATAAGGAGAGAGAAACAATAAGTTTATCATTAGCAAAGCTATAAACATTAGTTATGACAAAACTGCTAAACATGATGGATCATCCTTCTGATTTTATATATCGGTGCGAGTCAATTAAAGAAGCACATGAATAAAGAGATCTCAAAAAAAAAAAAAAAAATCCTCAAAGTAACCTGCTTCTAGATAAATCAGAAGTTCTAATATACAATACATGTTTAACTAAAAAATGTTCCTTTCATTTTGTTTGTATATAGATATTATCCTCTACCTAACAAGAAATAACATATTTCTGAAACGACAAGAAGCAAAAAGAAAAACAGATCAGAAAATGCTACGGACCTGTGCCTCTCACCCAGAGTTTTGGATGGTGCCTCTTACCAAGACTTTTCGAGCTTGCCTTTCTGACGATCAAGACTGCAGTATATATAGGAATTGGATCTTTTCATTAAAATGTATAATATGGTAATCGATGTGTTGGAAAATAAAATAAAAAGTAAAGTTTATTTTGAGTGCTCAACAAATATCACGCGGTCCAATTTAATCCCTTAGGGAAAAAAAATCGACTCGTGATTCTTCTGAAATTTAGAATAGATCCTTGTTAGTCTTTTTGAGAGAGACTAATGTGGATCTTCTTTGAACTTCAGATAAACTATAATTTTGACTAATTGAGTCTATTTTAAATTTTAACTTTACAAAAATTGACTTTACAAAATTAGATAAAATCAATTCAAATCTTTCAAAACGGAAACTAATATCAAATTAACTTTTTCTATATTTTTTTAGAAAATAAAATTAAAATCTTCAAATTAACTTTACAAAAATTGACTTTACAAAATTAGATAAAATAAATTCAAATCTTTCAAAAAGGAAACTAATATCAAATTAATTATTGCTGGTCGCGGATGAATTTAAGAGGGGGTGAATTGAGTTTATTGAAAATAGGTATAAATAAAATCTAAATGGAGGACTCAATGAATCTGCTCATGCCTAAATTTCCAAAGTATTTTCAATGCACTGAGAAGAAAAACTCGCAATATACTCAACGCGCTTTTTCTCTTGAATGCTCAATCACATTTTGAAGAAAGACTCAAAGTATAGTATTTATAGATTATTTTTCTCAAAATCAATTACTGATTCGGTTATAATATAGGTCTAACCAGGGCCCAATAAACACATGGAAGCCCAAGCCCATAAAGGACCTAGAACAAGGCATAAAAGACAGGCACGAGACGCGATAACCCTATCGCGTCACACCAGCGCGATGTCCATATCGCGGAACACCAGGCGCGATTGTCCCATCGCATCATACACGGCGCAGTGCCTCATCACAGCATGCATGATATACTTACTCCTCACGCAACGGGATACCTTCTACAGACAGTAAACTTAAGGGCCAAGGCAACACCACCGCGCCCTCACACCAGTAAGCAATGGACAGCTTCAGCTCGCCACAACTCTACTAATAGACACCATGGCGGCAAGCTCCTCAACATTTAAACCATGACAGCCACAGTACGTTGGCACCAAGGAACCTTTGCCTTCACCATGAAGAAATGTCTCCTCCAAACACACATCTCGATTACTATATAAACATACGTTGTGCCACCAAGGTACGATCATCCTTTACTTTCACAACATAAACACCTGCCTCTGATACTGACTTGAGCGTCGGAGTGTCTTCGCAGGTACCCCCCCATCCGGTGCAATGTGAAGGACGGAGGACAAAGAGCTCAGGCTTATCCCACATCAACAGTACTAGGCCCAGGCCAGCAACCATCTAAGGAGTCTCAACCGTGTGTGATTTGGGCTTTGGGCTATCCCTATCGAATCTGGTCCGATCATTGGCACCGTCTGTGGGAACGTATATTACCCACCATTCTCTAAAAACATGGTTGAAACTCACAGCAAATCTCAGAACGGCTCCAAAAGAAAGCAGAAGGAGACCCCTGCTTCCCGTGAAAAATCAGCTTCATCGGTGGCACCAATTACCATCCACCTGGATGACCCACCGACACCCCAACATCTGTTGGACCTCATCACGTTACAAAACAAGAAAATTGCCCAGCAAAATCGAGATTTAGCTCGATTGAAAAAAGCTCAAAAGAAAAAAAGAAAAAACTCAAGAAAAGGGAAAAGAAAAAGAGAAAAATCAGGAAAAGGAAAAAGATCTCGAAAATTCTGCAGAAAGAGAACCACTTCATTCGCACTCAACAGGGAACCCGGGACCTTCGGGTCATAAAAATAAAAAAGGTGAAGAAATCAAAGATACTCAGGAGAATGAGAATTCTCATGGTCCTTCAAAGACTGTTTCTCAAATTATTCACCCCTTTGTCCCCTGCATCATGAACATCCCAATGTCACATGATGGCACAAGAGCACATGTGAACATCCCTGCATCGCGATGTCAAGATAACAACAGAAAAATAAAACGGCAAGGGGGACCCTTAAGAGCATCTGGAACAATTCCAGACAAACATGATGGCACAAGATGTCACATATCCAATAGCATGCCGACAATTTCCTACAACTCTTAAGGAAATAGCCCTTAGGTGGTACTCAGCGTTGCCACCTAATTCGGTACAAAGCTGGGAAGACTTAACCAACAAGTTTCTCGTGCAGTTCGCAACGAGCAAAGCGCAATACAAATCCACTCATGCGCTAAAAACAGTTCGACAAGAGTCGAATGAATCTTTCCGCGATTATTTAAACAGATTCTTCGATGAAGCACTTCTGGTTAGAGACTTAGATTCATAAGTCTCACTACACATCATCACTGAAGGCCTTTTGCAAGAACCTTTTTCTATGTCGCTAGCCAAACAGCGACCTCGCACCATAGAAGAACTACGTGCGCGCTCAGAGAAATTTATCAACTTGGAGGATTACAAGCGTTCACGAGAAATCTCCAACACCAGAACCAGTACAGACAACTTCGACAAAGATATCTAGAAAAATGTCCAGCGCAAATTTCGCGAAAAAAGAAAGTGGGGAAAATACGACAGCTATACCCCCTTGAATACATCTCCCAAGCGGATTTTCAAGGAAGTTTTCCAAACAGGGTATGTCCGTTTTAACAAACCTCCTCCTATGTCAAAAGGAGTTCAGCGCGATGAATCCAAATTTTGCGAATTCCATAACGATAAAGGTCACACCACCGACGAAAGGCTCGCGCTCAGAAATACGATTGAGACACTCATTAGAGAAGGAAAGCTCCAAGAATTTATTTCCACTTGCAGGGAATACAAGACACAGCAAAAGCGCGATAGAAGCCCTGATAACGACTCGAATCCCAACGAGCAAAGGGCACGTCCTAGGAGAACTTATAACTCCAATCGTAACAGTGACCGTAGAGTGGACAGAGCAACATCAACTGACAGACATCATAGAACTCCATCAAGAAACAGACAGCAAGGCGCGAGGCAACACCGCGATGGACTACCCAATAACGCAGCAGGCATTCTAGCCACCATTGCCGGGGGCTCAGCGGGAGGCGGTGCGACCACATCTCAACGAAAGAAGCACTTAAAGTCAGTAATGACAGTACGCAATCACGCACGCCTATCAACCCCTCGCTATCTAAAACAGGCCATCAGTTTTGATGATGATGACTATGGCGATATCATTCCAGACCACGATGACCCGCTAGTAATCTCAGCATGCATGGCTAACCTCCAGGTAAAACGTATTATGATTGATAATGGTAGTTCAGCTGATATCATATTCTGGGATGCCTTTTGCGCGATGCACATCCCAGAAGAACATCTTCTGCATGGATGTTCGAACTTAATAGGCTTCACTGGAGAATGCGTACAGCCCAAAGGCACCATTGAAATGTGGGTCACCTTTGGAAACTTGCCTTTAGCTCAAACTATCAAGGTGAAATTTTATGTCATTGAATACGCTTCAGCGTATAACATCATTCTAGGAAGACCAACTATTGCGGCATTAAAGGCAATCATTTCCATACCTCATCTTTTGAAGAAATTTCGTAACAAGTCTGGCACGGTAGTTGCCATTAGAGGAGATCAGAAAACAGCACGCAGTTGTTACAATACCAGTCTAAGAGCCAAGACTCCTGTACAACCTGATGACAAAGACAAAGCATCGGTAAATATTACTGATCTCGATGTACGCGATGATCTACGCGATATTCGTCCTCAACCTGATGGGAGTTGGAAGACCTCTAGATAGGCCCACTCCCTGACAACACTACCAAAATTGGTCGAAACCTCCAAGAGGATGAGAAAAGCGCGCTGATAATCGTATTGCAAAATAACAAAGACCTTTTTGCATGGACAGCCGCGGACATGCCAGGGATAGACCCAGGGATAATATGTCACCAATTAACCATGGATCCCAAAGCAAAGCCCATCGCGCAGAAAAAGCGCAAAATATCCCCTGAGAAACATCAGGCGGTTGAAGCTGAAGTAGCAAAATTACTTGATGCTGGAGTGATTAGAGAAATCACTTACTCTACATGGCTCTCCAATGTGGTATTAGTCAAGAAACCCAATGGAAAGTGGCGCATATGTACTGATTACACAGATCTCAACAAACACTGCCCAAAGAATTTTTATGCACTTTCCACCATCGACAAGCTGGTCGATAATTCTGCAGGATACCAAATTTTATCCATTATGGACGCATATTCTGGCTACAACCAGATTCCAATGTTCACACCAGATGAGGAAGCCACAACTTTCATCACCGAAAAAGCTACTTACTGCTATAACATGATGCCATTTGGTCTCAAAAATGTTGGAGCCACTTATCAACGCATGATGAACAAAGTCTTCAGCCAACAGATAGGCCAGATGCTTGAAGTTTACATTGATGATATGATAGTAAAAACAATGACAACTGCGCAACATCCTCACGATTTGGAACATGTATTTCAACAACTGCACAAATACAGGCTACAGCTTAATCCAGCTAAATGCGCGTTTGGGGTACCTGCTGGAAAATTCTTAGGATTCATGCTCACGCATCGCGGGATAGAGGCCAACCCTGACAAATGCAATGCCATTCTCAGCATGACAAGCCTGCGAAACGTCAAGGAATTGCAACAACTGACAGGAAGAATTACTGCTCTAACCAAATTCCTTCCTGCATTAGCTCAAAAATCATTGCCCATGTTTAAACTTTTGCGCAAGCAGACAGACATCAACTGGACTCCTGAATGCGAGGCAGGGTTCTTGGCCATCAAAGAACATTTGGCCAACCCACCAGTCTTGGTCAAGCCTCCACCCAATGAACCCTTGGTCCTATACCTTTCCGTCAGTAATGAGGCCATAAGCGTTGTCCTCGTGCGCGAAGAAAATTTGGAACAACAGCCCGTATACTTCGTCAGCAAAGCACTCCATGGACCAGAACTGCGCTATCAACAAATTGAAAAAGTCGTTTTCGCATTGATCTTAACTTCGCGACGCCTGCGCCATTACTTTCAGGGGCACACTATCAGAGTCAGGACAAACCAGCCTCTTCGACAAGTGCTTAGACAACCTGATTTAGCAGGCCGCATGATCTCATGGTCTATAGAGTTGTCAGAATACGACATCATCTATGAACCGCGACAGGCAATTAAAGCCCAATTATTAGCAGACTTCTTGTCGAAATGACACACTTACATGAGGCTGAGGACAACGTCGATTGGATCATTTACGTCGACGATTCTTCCAATATCAAGGGAAGTGGTGCAGGAATAATAGTGGAAAGCCCTCGAGGTATTACCGTGGAACACTCTATCCATTTTGGATTCAAAGCTTCAAATAACCAGGCTGAGTACGAAGCAGTCCTCGCATGACTAGCCATGGCCAAAGACTTTGGGGCAACAAATATAAATCTCAAGAGTGATTCACAATTAGTAACTGCTCAAGTTCAGGGAAGCTACCAGGCCAAGGAGGCATTAATGATAAAATATCTGGAAAAAGTGAGACTCCTACTCACAGAATTTCGAAGCTATAAAATGGAGCATATCCCTAGAGAACAAAATTCACGGGCTGACATTTTATCCAAGTTAGCTAGCACAAAAGGACCTGGAAACAACATAACAGTGATCCAACAAAGCGTCCCTAATTCTAGCGTCATAATGGCCATAACCAAACGACAAGCTCAACCATCCCAAAGCACGCAATCCATGATTGAGGATGAATCTATGCCATTGGACGATGACGAAACTTTGATGACACCAATTTGGAACTATCTACTCAAAGGAGAGGCACCACAAGAAACGCGCGCGACCAAAAAAGTAGCGCGCAAAGCCTCCTTCTACACCATCATCAATAACCAGCTTTACAAAAAGGGATTCTCTTCTCCAATGTTCAAATGCTTAGATCCCCAACAAGCTTAGTACGTAATCTCTAAAGTACATGAGGGAATTGGTGGACACCACATGGGAGGTAAATCTTTATCTCGAAAATTACTCCGGGCAGGATACTTTTGGCCTACCATGGAAGAGGACTCCAAAAAACATGTGCGACATTGTGTCAAATGTCAAGAGCACGCAGACTTACACCATGCTCCCCCTGAGAAATTATCTTCAATGTTATCCCCATGGCCATTTTACCAATGGGGCATGGACATTCTGGGACCATTCCCAGTCGCCGTCGAAAGGGTCAAATGGTTGTTAGTAGCAATTGACTACTTTTCCAAAAGGATTGAGGCAGAAGCGTTAGCCACAATATCAGCCAACAAGGTTCGCCGATTCTTCTACCGACAGATCATCAGTCGATTTGGTGTTCCACACACCATTATAACAGATAATGGCACATAATTCATAGACAGAAAATTCAAGCAAGTCCTTCAGGATTTGCATGTTAAACACCGATATACGTCGGCTGAACATCCACAAACGAACGGATTGGCAGAAGCTGCGAATCGAGTTCTCAAATGCAGTTTGGAAAGAAGATTAGAAGCAGCAAAAGGGGAGTGGCCTGAACAGTTAGACTTCGTGCTATGGGGATACAGAACAACCAAACACTCAACCACTGGTGAAACCTCATTTCGCATGGTCTACGGTTCTGAGGCTATGATCCCAGTTGAAATTGGGGAACCATCATGGAGAAAGATGTACACAGACTCAGACAACAATTCGCAGGCATTACTTCATAATTTAGACACGGTAGAGGAAATGCACGAGATTGCGCATGTCAAGGAAGAAGCACTCAAATAGAAGATTGCAGCGCGCTACAACTTAAAGGTTGTCAAACGAGGCTTCAACGTGGGCGACTTAGTCCTACGCAGGACAGACATTGGCAATAAGAACGCGCGACAGGGCAAACTAGCTGCAAACTGGGAAGGACCTTATCGCATCTACAGCAAAACTGATAAGGGGGCATATGTCATTGAGACACTATTTGGCCTTACTATCCCACGCACATGGAACGCAGAGAGGCTTAAGACATTTTATAGCTAAGTCTCTCACGACTCACACACTATTATCTTTAAGCTTTTGTCTTTCATTATTATTTCAAATAAAACGAACCAGTTTCCCTTTACTATTGATCAATCTCTGCATTAAGCCTCCAATTAACAGGAAACCTCTCACGGTTCCTATCAACTTACAGGGTTCTCTCACGAATCCTCCAATTAACAGGAAACCTTTCACGGTTCCTAACAACTTACAGGGTTCTCTCACGAATCCTCCAATTTACAGGAAACCTCTCAAGGTTTCTATCAAATTACAAGGTTCTCTCACGAATCCTCCAATTTACAGGAAACCTCTCACGGTTCCTAACAACTTACAGGGTTCTCTCACGAATCCTCCAATCCACAGGACACCTCTCATGGTTCCTATCAAATTACAGGGTTCTCTCAAGAATCCTCCAATCCACAGGACACCTCTCATGGTTCCTATCAAATTACAGGATTTTCTCACGAATCCTCCGATCAACAGACTTGTCAACAAAGATCTCCTCAATAGATCACAAGCATACAGGTCGCGATCCCCAAGGATGTATCGTGATCTTTCACGCTCAAACGCGATGGCATAACCAAAGGTATGCAAAAAATAAAAATATTTTACAATAAACTGTTTAGACATACAGCATGCAGATATAGTGTTTAAGTGCCATATGGCGTACACACCACAACTCCAACATGCAAAGCATACAATCGCGACGCTATGCAGACATGGTGTTCAAGCGCCAGCGCGGCCTCGTTCACTTTACAGGACTCTATACTTAAAGGATTCCTTTGTAACAAAGCACGACATGCATATGATCGCGGCGCAACATACAAATAGAATACACTTCAGCTGCGTTACAAAGAAGGTGAAGAGCAATATGAAGAGGGATGCGAAGGGTAATACCCTATTACAAAGAATGAAAATTTTCAACCGATTAACAACAGTCTACAAAAAGAGAGCAATGCAAGCATTCATTCAGCAACAGATATATATTTAGCAAAATAACCTCAAATGTCATAAACTTCAAAATTTGCGGGAACAATGCCCGCATCATTGTTATGGGGATACCCCCCTTACACATACTACAAATAAAAAGAAGCAGAAGATATATAAAGGACATCAGTATATCAGCGATAAACTTCAGATGGTCTGGATTGACATGTCCTGAGGAGTGTTAGCAGCACACTCATCATTAACAGCAGGAGGATCTTGAGGCAACGACACTTGCAAGGATGGCGCGGTCGTGTCTGTATCCATCTCGCTAATCAGCTCCACTGGGACCTCTTGATTTTGCTCATTCAGGGTCACCAGCTGGCCATCCTTGAAGTAATGGTAGAAGTGGACATCCTCCAGTTTGGCTGAGGGGTTGAAGAAACGCACTTGTTCGATCACGTTCACAAAGGTACCCTCTGCCTCCTTCTAGAACAACTCTTGATACCTCTTAACCTCAGCGGTCAAGTGGGCCTTTTCATCGGCCCAGGTATCAGCGTTCCCTTCAAGCTCCAGTATGCGCTTCTCCAGATCAATCTTCTTCGCCCCCAAGCTTCTGTTGGCAGTCGTCAGCTTCTTTATCTCAGCATCCTTCTTCTCCATCTCAACCGTCAGCAGGGCAACCTTGTCCTCAGATGTCTGCAATTCGGCTTCAGAAGCAGCGCGCTGTTGGGTATTTTCTGCTTTTAACTCCTCGATACGTTCCTTCAGGACGTTTACTGAATCTGTTACATATCAAACAACAGGTTATACATGCAACCGCAATATTATAGTATACAAGCAAGCAACATGGAAA